GCAATCTCCTCCTGTACCAGTCAGATCTGATTTGACGGTACACGCAGACTAAAATAAAAAAAATTAAAAAAAAGAATAGATTTCTAAAAAGAAGTATGAGCAAAACAAGAGCGTATTAACAGGCTATTAGAAAAAGAAATATAAGAGAAAGTAGGTAATGATAGAGGGAGGTGCTGGGAAGATAATAAAACAGGAAATGTGGCAAAAAACCAAAAAGAGGGATCAACTCTGACCAAAAAGCAAGCGAGGAGAAAGGTTGACATTAGACACTCAAACTCCTAGAAAGGTGGCAATTCTACCTCAAGTCTCACTGCAAAACATAATGCATGGGAATGATTGTATGAAACACAGTATGAATGAAGAATAGTGTCAAACACTTTGTAAGCAAATCAATAAAAATATTAAAAAAGGGGGGAAACAACTGGATTTTAAAAACTGCATTGGTGGGTTTTTTTTTTTGTCAATTACATGTAATCCTTTCAGGTAAACTAGGTGTGAAATTCTTCCAAGATCATAGAATTAATAAGTGACACAAACAAGATACTCTCAGAACAGCACTCCTCTGAACACTACACAATGCTGTGAAGATTCAGATAACAGTGGTGGAGAGGCAGCACCTGCAGAAACTTGAAAGGAGGAAAACCCTCATGCTCACTCTCACTTCTTTGGTTGACAAGGGGCAGGGGCACTACTTGGCTTCCTAGATCCCTCCACCTTTAATAGGAAAGAGAGTCACTAAATGCTGTGCTTTTCTTGGAATTATCTGACAGGATACATCCTTTGAACATTTGATAGAGGATGGATTAGACTTGCTGTACTTTATCAATACTATGAAGAAGGGGAGCAACTGGTTAATACACATGCTCTCATTCATATGTACAGAGCCTCTATTACATGTATGAACAGAGGAAGTATATACATACCCTTCACCAACCTTTGGACTAGGTAAAGCTCTTAAAATGAATTAATTCAGCCTAAGGCATAACACTGACAATTTCACTCTGAAGGAAGCAGAGATCTTAACCCATTCCCTTACTCAGCTCTGTCCTTTAGTATGAAGTAGCAAAGGTTTCTGTAGTACTGCCAGCTCAGCAAGAGAGAAAATTAACCCTGAATTGTCTTATTCCAGGATTCTTCAGCATGGGTCTGAGGAAAAGGGGTGGGGGTGACCAAACCCCTAGAAACAGTTAAAGACTCAATCAGCACATGAGAGAGACAGAGACAGAGAAGAGGGTAAGGTGGTGCACTGTAAATGCACCCTGGCATGGGGCAGAAGCAATTATGGAGACACTGGAAATGAACATCGCTGCATGCACAGATGAATTTTCTAAAGTTCTCTGCAAGTTCAGATGATTCTGTTGGGCCTGGGGGTGGGGCTTTTAAATCATTAATTTTTCTATTTAGATTTCATTTTTTTTTAAAGAGCTGTGTGAATCTCATTAAGTATAGAATTGACTTCATTTAATTAATTCACTAAGTCCCTGGGTGACACTGGGTGTGGCTCAGGCTGATTTAGAAAGGATTCAATTTATCATTGGGAAAAATTGCCTGCACCAAGCAGCAGCAAGGCAGCATCTTTCCACACCTTTCCAACATTGCAAGGGGAAAGTGCAGTGAGGTTGGAATTCTAAATCAGAATTCTAAATAAGAATTATGTGTTATCTGAGGAAAAGGCTAGTGGAGAGGGGTGGAAGATAGGGAGTGTTTCTTGTTTGCTTGGTATTTTTTACACTTCAATTACAGACAAGTCATTCTTTTTAAACAAAGGAAACACCTCACAATTTTCTTGCCTTATGGACACCGATCACACCTTGCAAGCTTTTCATCATCTACAATATGCATAGTAATTAAGTTATTTAAAGTAAGCCCCAAGATATTTGAAAATCAGAAGCCAGTAAAATCTCAGTGGCTGCTTTTATTTCATTCCTCTTTTGCCCACCCCTCTCATTTCCACCCTAGTTCCGTCTCTTCTTCCGGCTGGAACAATCTATAGTGATAACTAATGACTAATATAGATCATTTATGCTTTCTTCTCACCCATTTGCAATGCATTACAACTTAGAAATCCAAGCTTGCTTCTTTATGCTGCTCAAGTGGAAGAGGAAGGAAGTGCAGGCCCTCCAACCCCCTCCCACGTTTCTGCTGGATTTTATGGGTGTGGCAGAGTTTAGACCTTTGCAGGTTTTTGCCCTTGTTTTATTCTCTCTTATGCTAGGATAACAAAAGTGCCAGAAGAATAATGGACCTCACTGGATTTTGTTATGAAAAATATAGATTCATTTCATCCACAAGCACGAAACCTATGAGACTTAGAACTCATGGTATATAAATGCCTGACTAGCACAGAGCCCACGCCCTTAATACACCATTTCCTTCAATCTGATTTAATGGCATCTTACACACTATTTTATTGTATGATATACAACACTGACATATAGGAGCCATGACTATTTCACACATAGGTACATATTAATAAAGCATATTGACAAACTAGGACAGTTTCTATACCTTTCATTTTCCTTCCTGAATATGAAATATGCTATTCATATTCATATGAAAAGCTTTAAGGTATGTAAGCACCAAACAGAATACATGCAGGACTCTATGTGCATGAAGTATGTAGGTGTTATAGACATTTACACGCAAAATCTTACAACTCCCTGACTGTATCATTTCAGCTTCATCGCTTTGCACATCAGACATCAGAGTGGATGCGTGGGACTGTCAGTGAAGTATAAGCAAGTGAAGAAATAAAATTTTAAAAAAAAGAACAAAAATCCAAACCTGATTTTGACTCACAGCCAAGCTATAGGGCAGAGGACTGCCTCAATAGTTTCCCTAAACAGACTGCCACACCTTTCTCCTGAGGAGCAGCTGATGGATTTTAATCATTAATCTTTCAGTTAACAACCCACCTCTTAACTACTGCACCACCAGGGTAGCTGTTCTCATTTTAGGAAGGAATTCTGTTTGCCCCCAATTCCCTTTCTGAAAACCATGCTCCATCCCCCTTTGTCAAAGAGAATGTGTGTATACTTGTATATGGTTAAATTAGGGGCGAACAAGTTGACACTGGCCTATTTTTCTTTCCAGAATTGCAGAGTTCGTTCAGAGAATAGCATTGGCTTCTTTAGGGCCCCGCCTTCCTAAATTTTATCTCCCCAGCTCCCCAGTGGGGAACCTCAGAACATTCCTTTGCCAATATAGTTAACCTAGTCACTTGTATCTATTCCATCTATACATTAAAATGAAGGAAGACACGGAGAGGGTATGCCACGGTTTGAAAAATGAGCCAAAGGAAGCATGGATCAGTTTAGGAAGTGCTGCGAGTTAAGTAAGCCCCTCCACACCCACCCCCCCCCCCCACACACACACACAAACCACACACAAACCCCAGGATGTCCACCACTTTATTGATTACATTTTTGCCATGCCTCTCCATCTACCACTCTGACATTCCTTCTGCCCGTCTTTTTCCCCATCCTCTTCTTCTTCAGCTTTCCTTTCAATGCCCCCTTCCAGGGCGCTGGCTAAACGTGTGAGGCGAGCTGGTTACCTTTTCCCTACTCGCCTTCACCACCCTTTGGTTCCAGCGAGTGCATTACAAATTGCCCAACATCCACTACCTTAGGAATAGTGCCCATATCCAATATCTTGCACCCCACCCTGAAGGCGATAATCAATGTTCAAAGGGATTTTTGGACCAAGACTGTCCTCTCCCCATGCGCGAGCGGGCGCGCGCGCACACGCACACACTCACACATGCACACACTCAGCCATATCCCACGCCCATTTTCCTCCTTAACCTTCGCCAAAATCGCGCAAACGTGTTCCAAGAAATGTTTGAACGCTTCATTTTGGAGAACGTTAGCTCACTGTTGGTTGCTGCAGAATACCTTATACCTCATTCCTCTTCACCTTCAGTCCAATCAAGTTTCTAAGATATTTTTAAAAAAATAGAAGAGCAGTTTGAAATGGGAGAGGGGGAAATATAACCTGAGCAGAAAGGGAGGGAGGAAGAGAACGCAGGTTCCTGGCTCATCACACACGTGTCTCTCTTCCTGATGAAAGAGTCACCATGCTTATTATTCACAATGTTAGCATGTTTCTGGTCACTGATAGTCACAAGAAAAATGCCAGGGAAGAGGAAAAGAGAAAAGCCTGAATTTCCAACAGGTAATACCCAGCTTGTCTTCCCCATCCCGTCGGAGCTCAAAGCTCCTAGGGGCGTGGTCCACCTCTCCCAGGACCAGCTGATGCACAATCAGCTAGGAAAGGGATTTTCCCCCTCATCCTTGCACCCACTTCAACACAACCTATGTCTTCCCTGGCCCCACTTAGCATGTAAAAGTGTCTTGGGGGGGGGGGTTATTCAAATCACAGTTTCATTCATTCATTGAAAAAAAAGAAATAAATAAACCCTTCACATGTTTGTTGTTGGTTTGTTTGTTTTTTCCCCCATAAATGCCCGCGCCCATTCAAAGAGCATGCATGTAGGAAATAAGGCTTCTCCTGCAGCACATGTGAGAAAATTGTACGACAGAACGGGTCATGCTCAGCCCTGAATATTAGTCCATCAACCCCGCTTTCTGTGCATGATATAATATAAAGGATTGCCTCCCCATCTTGGAGGTAAAGCCCACATACATCTTCTCCCACACCCCTTTCTACATCCACACCCTCAGAACCAGAGACCCAAAACGCGGAGCATTTACTAATAACCAAGGCAAGGGAAGAAGAGGGGGGAAAAAAATCTTCCTTTCTAGCCAAACAGGCACATTTCCTCTCCCCTCACCCTAATTAGCAGCAGCATTTCCAAACCAGAGCACGAAGGACAGAAAAGAATAAAAGCTGAGATGCAACCATCAGTTACCATATGCTAAGGAAACGCAAGCACCATGGCCACAGCAGAAGCAGTTAAAGCATATTTCTCCCTTTGCAGGGAAATATTATACTCTGGCCATTCCACAACAGCAAGAAGTAAAAATCTTTAGATCTACCTGTTTGGTTCTTCTCATACAGCACAGCATGGTTGTATCGTCCCTTGCCTTCTTCCTGCCTTCTCTCCTTTCCTCCTCTCTTTCTTATTCCCCCCCTCTCCACCTCTTTTCTGCTCGCTTGCTCACTCGCTCTCTCGCGCTAGCGCGCTCTCTCTCCCTCCCTCCCTCTCTCTCTCTCCCTCACACACACCAGGGCAGTTAGCAGCAACTGTAAGGTCCACAGCTATTGCTCATCGCACATGCTCGCTCTCGCTCTCTCTCTCTTGCTCTATCCTCTCTTTATCTCCTCCTCTTTTCCCTCTTTTCTTTCCTCCCTCTCCCTCTCTATCTGTCTTTTCTTCCCTCTCTCTTGGTCTCTTTCTCAGAATTGTTCACTAGCTCTCCCAATGACTAATCACTTCCCCCAGCCCCCACCCCCATTCTAGGCAGTCACCCCCTCCCAGTCCCCTGCCAGCCTCATGAATATTTAAACATCTCCAATCTGGACCCAATTACCCACTGACTTTCCCAGTGCATTTGAGAGGATGATGGGGTGGTGGCGGAGAGAGGGATATTCCAAAGAGTTCTGGAGGTTGGATGGAATGTGCTTTAGAGTAGAGGGGCTTGAGGAATGCCTTATATCCTTGGATTTCTCCAGTAACTCTACTAGTATCTAAAAAAATAAAACAACAGCTATTCCCTAAGGGAGCTGTAGTCAGACCTATACAATATAAGTCATGTTTGCCATTTAGATTTCATGCACGGTAAATAATTGTGTAGCTTAAGTTCACTCAAAAATGAAATATTATTTAAATGTTATATAATATGTATACATGTATATTTTTCAGCACACATATGACTTAAAAGAAATAAATAAACCTTGGCTTAAATTTGCACAAACATAATCTCACATAAACGCTGGTATCCTGGAGAAATGCATATGAACATGTAGTAGTTTAAACAATTCAAATGCTTGGTTAGGAAACAGCTAACATGCAAGAATTAGCATCCATATCTAAAATTTGTCTGGTAGGTTTTTGTTACTGTTGAGTTTTTTCTTTTCTTCTTTTGCTTAATGCACATAACTCTGTGTGAAAATTTTGGTTTATTTCCATTTTACCAGAAAATCTGAGCATCTTTGAATAATATATCTGTATAACATGAATATTTAGCATACTGATATTTTACAGTTTGAGGAAGAATTCAAGCAAACTTACCTACGGTGAGAAGATACATCATGAAGCTCATTTTTCAATGACAGCAATTGTCTTTGATAATTTTAAAAGACAAAATATCCCTTCTAAAATGTAAGGGAGCTTACACAGAATAATTTCTAAATACATAGTACTGTGTGATCTTATGCAAGTTATTGAACCTCTTTTCTAATTTTTGGAATGGGGCTAATAATGCTAACTTTAGTTTTGCAAAGCACAAGGAAATCATTCATAAGATGGACTTGCTTTACCCCAGAGGCCATGTCCTTCTGAAATATTGGTGACATGTCTAAATGGATATCTCAAAGAACTTTTCAAACTATTTATTAACTTATTATTATTAGTGACGACAAGCACTCTCCAATTAAACAGCTCCTACTCTTTCTAGTTCTATCTAGACACATATCTAGTAAAGAGGTATCACATGTTATAATGCTCATTGACCTTAATTGATATTTAATATATTTTAACAAAATCCAAGGCACACACAACTCAAACTGGACTATTTCAAAGAGATGCCCTGGGGTTAATGGTCATAAACCCTCTCTAGAGTCTTCCAGAAGATTACTTGATTACTTGATCTTTGGACTCTGTCATCAGTAATCAGACATGAGGTTGGGCTCAGATCTGTACTATATGTACTAATTTTTAGCTAATTTTGACCTAAGTGGTAGGTAGGCCATACTTTGAGAAAGAATGGCTTGAGGAACCAGGAACAAATGTAGAAATTTCCTCTCTCTCTTCCAGCTATTATCTTTTCCCTTTACCCTGTTTTACACTTTACTATATAATAAATGGCCTGATGAACACACTATCTTCTTGGGCCTTATATTGTTTCATAGGCTTAGAATAACATTTAACTTCCTATGTTGTTGTTATTATTGTTGAGTCATAGCGACCCTATGAAGGAGAGTCCTCAATGGTTCGGTGTCTTTCATCAATTTCCTATGAGTCCAGAAACATTAAACTTTACTCAGATAAATCATTTTCCCAGGAATCCTTTCTGAACTTCCAGATAGATTTACCTAACTTCCTCTAGGTTCTTACAGCACACCCCCCAAAATCCGCTAACTAATAACATGGCTGTGGAGTTAATTCTGAAGCTTAGCTACCCTGGAAAAAAAAAAGCTGTCCCATAGGGTTTCCAAGAAGGTAAATTTTATTGAAGTACACTGTTTCCTCTTTCTCAATTGAACTGCTGGCCTTTCAATGATCAGCTGAATACTATAGCCACTATAGCACCAATAGTCTTTCTATTTATTGTTATTTATTGTTATTTATTGTTATTGTCAGTGGTCTTTATGCAAATGTAAACTCAAGAGTGTGCAAGGACTCTTTCTTATTCATCATTGTATTTCCAGCACCTGACTTAGTGGTTGGCAAATAAAAGGTGTTCAGATTATAATTTCTCACTGGACCTGGACTGATGATGGCCTAGTATGACGCTGCCAGTCAGAGCCTGCCAATGTTTCCAGGAAGACATGGCTGCATCTCATCCACAAAGTGTCTTGTTTCTGTGATATGATGTCATCATATTAATTAGAGTGATAGCATTTCAGTAAGTATCATTACCAGAATCCACTTTATTTTCCCCACACAGCAAGAGTCTGAAGTCAGCACGTGGATGACTTTTCTTGTCACTACTAACCTGATTCACAGCTCTGGTTTGATCTGTGCCACTCCTATTATAAGTTGTGCTTTGGACCAATGATTGATTTTGACCATAAATAGACTGTCAAGTCTTTTTTTCTTGTCTGTCTTAGTTTGGAAGTTCTGATGAAACTTGTTCACAGCATCATCAAAGCCACCACTGATGAAAAAAATGATGGTTGCGTATGGCTGATGAATAATGGTTTCTAAATAGAAAGTGGTTGTTGTTATGTGCCATTGAGTTGGAACTGACACATAGCTGACCCTCCAGCGGGTTTTCAGAGACAGTTAATTGTATGAGAAGAGATTGCCCATCCTCCTGTGCAACAGCTGGTAGACTCAAACTGTGTACCTTTGGGGTTGCAGTGCAGCTACATACTTCTAGGCCACCAAAAATCCCCTAAGTATAATGCTGCTATATGAATTATATATTATATGAATACTATTATTTGAAAAGACATATTTCAATGGGAAAGTCTGCTGTTAGAGACCTCGCCAAAGTATTGAAGAGCAATGATGTCACTCTGGAGACTACGGTGCACCTGATACAGGCCATGGTCTTTGCAATCACTTGCTATGCATCAGAGAGCTGGACAATGACTAGAGATGATAGAATGAAAATTGATCCATTGAGCTGTGGTGTTGGAGAAGAGTATTGAATATACCATGGACTGCTAAGAAAATGAACAGGTTCATCCTAGAGAGGGTTAAACCGGGTTGCTGTTCAGAGACAAAGATTCTGAACCTCCATGTGATATACTTGGGAAATGTTGCAAAGACCAATCCTAGGAGAGGTACATCATGCTTGGAAGGGTAGAGGGACAATGTAAGAGAGGAAGACCCTCTATGAGGTGGATTGATTCAGTGACTGGGGTATTGGGGGTAGGTGTGTTAGAGACAGTGAGATTGGCACAGGATAGGGCACGGTTTAGTGCTGCTGAATGTAGGGTCGCTATGAGTCACAGGTGACTGAATGACACATAACAACAACAATAACATTTTATGAATACTATTGGCCATATTATGATTTATAGCTCATTGTCTTTGAATCAATCCTGATTAATAGTGAGCTTATAGTTGCTAGTTGTTATTAGGTGCCCTGGAGTCACTCCCCTTCAAAACAATTCTGTACAACAGAATAAAACACACTCTGGTCTTATGATATCCCCACAGGTGTTGCTGTATATGAGCCGTTGTCACAGCAACGATGTCAATCCTGTTCATTGAGAGTCCTCCTCTTTTTCTTTTCCAGGGAGTGGCAACTCCAGATTATATGACCAAAATAAATGAGAGGAAGACTCATCATTCAAGGAGCATTCTAGCTTCATGTCTTCCAAGTTGAGATCTGCTTGCTTATTTATTAATTCAATGTTCTTCACTAACATCACATTTCAAAGGCTTCAATCCTTTTTGAGTCTTCCTTAGTCATTGTTCAGCTTTCACATACATATTAGGCAATTGAAAAAGCCATTATTTGTGTCAAGGCACACTTTAGATTTCAAAGAGACACTCCTGCTCTTTAGTACTTTAGTGATCCTTTGTAACAGATTTGTCTAATGAAATACATCAATTGATTTTTTGATTCCTGCTTTCATGGGCAGAGTTTGCATATCTAAATATGAGAACTATTTGACACTATCAATCTTTTATCTGTTTAGCATGATGTTGTTATTGGTCTAATTGTGAGGAATTTTGTTTTCTTTTTGTTGAGGTGTAACCCATACTGAAGGCTATGTTCTTTGAGCTTCATCAATAAGATCTTTAAGTCTTTTTCACTTTCAGTAAACAAGGTTGTATCATAACAAACTGTGGCTGACTCTGAGAAGAATGGGAATCCCAGAACACTTGATCATGCTAATGCAAAACCTATACTTGGACCAAGGGGCAGTCGTCAGAACAGAGCAAGGAAACACTGCATGGTTCAAAATTTGGAAGGGTGTACTCCAGGAATGTGTCCTGTCTCCATACTTTTTCAACCTGTATTCAGAACAGATCATCCAGGAGGCTGGGCTCTATGAGGAGAAGTGTGGCATCAGGATTGGTGGAAGATCTATCAACAATCT